GACACTTTTGTTCTCAGCTACCCTTTTCGAATGGGACGACAATTCTTTCCAACATAAAAGCGACCACATGCACACATTATATTGTAGCAACCCGATCTCGATAATAGGTAAATTTTCTGTCTAAAAGTGGGCATGACTGAAGAAAGTGTCGTGTTTTCCTAGAAAACCGTTTTTATTCCCATTTTCTTTACTTGTTCGTCTATCTTTTTAGCGAGAATGCACTAAGGCTAAGACAAAAAATGGTAAAAGGTATCCCTATCTCTCCTTACCAATTCACCATTCAAAGGCCTATTCTTTATTAATATAATTTCATTTTCAATCATACCTAGGGATAACTATTCCCAAGAAATGTTCGTTTAAGCCGATCCAGCTCATTAGCACTATGATCTCTGTCATATGCTATACGAAAGCTTAGCACGTTTTAACCGGAATCGATGGCCTTACCCGAATGTTCCAGCGAAACCAGTCGACAGTTGGTCAAGAGCAATTTGTCGTCTTCTTTTTGTTGAATCGACCTTTGAAGCTTTTCATCACACACTTTTACTCTAGACGGATGTAAGCTCAATTGTTGCAAACCAAGAGCTCTCTTGATCCCCAATATTTCCCTATATACTTGTAAGTCTAAGGAAAAAGCTAATCAACAAGTGTTTTTGCACAAATCCAACCAACGATAAATGATAGATGACTTCATACCAGAGGTAAAAGCTGCTACTGTGGGCACTTTGGCAAAGCTGATTGTCAACTTGGATAGCTAGTTTAATTTTGTCTCGGTTGGGTTTTCTGTCTGAAAATCGGTCTCTTTGGCTGATGCGACATGAGCAACTGTATTTTACATTTTAGCCATCTCGAACAGGCCATACAGTGACGACCTTTTTTAAGGACCGAAAACTGTTGTGGCACCCAAGGATGCCGCTACCGATGGTAAAAAACTTTTTGTCCAATTCCAAATGATAAATCCTAGCTGAACGATATTATTCGTCATGTGACCGAATACGAAGTCACGCTTTAGATGACCTCATTAAGCCATCCTTCTTAACTGATCGTCTTGACCACACGAAGTTCTGAGGCTGCATGACTGACTAGAGGCAAGCATGTGCTTTGAGAGGGGGTGAGAAGCTGCGAGAAGAGGAGTAGTATTGTCCACTAAAGATTACAGTCTCTATGACTGGGGGTCATTTTACATCCTGGCTCGTAATAAGTGTTCTAAACTCAACCATTAAACAGACTGGTTTCTCTTAAATTTATTTCGTTGTCTGGCATTCGTTTCTTAATTGATGTCTTCTTCACGTCCTTTTAGTGATTCCCGACTATCACGGCGCAAATTGCTCCTACATCGAATACTTTGCGGCTCAACCAGAAAATGTTGGCGGCCTAAAACCAACGGAGGGTATTCTCTGTAAGTCGGTTTCAAGCATGTCTTTCCTATTTAATACTGCTTTAAAGACATAATTTAATTGCAGGAATGATGACCCTGATGTTGTATCGCAGTCCCTTTTCAGAATTGTACAGAATTGGTCAGGTCTCGTTTTTTAAAGCCTAGCCGTGTTGTAAAGACGATGAAGATGCTTGTATAGTTGATAAGTTGTAACTTGGCCAAATGTTGGCAGAGTGCGCTAACGATGTTAGCGAAATTTCTGAGAATGTACCGAATCCATGGTCCGAGGCAGGAAATCAGCCTGAATACTTTTGGCATAGAATGTCTTAAAACGAGATAAGATCAGTTAACGACTGACGTTACTTTAGACAAGTAAATTAGAAAGAAGAGATAGTAACTTTTGGAGCTCCTGTCTGGCTGATTTCTTCTACTATAGGAGGACAGAAACTTGCTTAATTGGTTAAATTTGTGGTTAGGCTGCAGAGGGCGGACGAAGTAATCATGGCGAGCTGGCCACGGAAGATAAGGCTTATTTTCCGTTCGACTTTTGGCCGGGTTTCGTACTGTTTAAGTTTGCCAGTCTTCTCAAAATGTCGTTTTCAGTCAAACTGAACGGCGAGTTCTACCTCATTTCATCGCCTCACCAACGACCCGAAATTGACTCTAAACCTGGACGGTAGGCTTACATAACTAATATAACTCTAATAGCAAAAAAGCCTCTCTCAATTTACCTGGTTCTGTGGGAAATTTGTCTCGATTAACAATAACAGAAACAGCACCAACAATAAGCTAAATGAAGCTTTTACTAGTAACAAAGACCACGCCACACTCCGGATTTGGACAAAAGCAGACACCATGCAGCATTAATATCCCAGAATATCCCTTTCTGCATTTTCGCTCCCAGCCATCTCGTCCAAGCTCAGGAAGTAAATGGATAGACGGAGCTTTAAGCCTGCTCAAATATCCATACTTTTGTTTATCAGTGTTTTGCTAATTGTCTATGGGGAAAACTACAAAATTCATACTACAAATCCTACCCATCAGAGCGAGCTGCCCTCGCCCGCTTTATTTTCCCTTCGATATTTTGATGACTGGGAAGAATGGAAAATTTCCCTCAACTCTAACCAGTCTATTGTGGCTTTGTTTCTCTGCCAAATCCGGAAACGGTATGGTGACTTATTTTTACCATCTTTTTCCTCTTATTTACAGTCGAAATTCGCCCTGCTGCCATATTTCCCATCTCCGGTCTGCTTGGACTAACCGCCGGCTGCATCCTCTCCATCCTTTCGCATTGCGCCCTTGAGACACAGAAATTGGTCTTCATCGGTGGTGGGCTCTACGTGTTAAGCGGTGAGACAAAAGGCACCAGAGAACGGTTCGGAGTTGGCGAGCCACGTTGTTCTGCTACGATCGAGATGCCTCGATTGAAGGGTTGCGTCTAAGAGGCGCAGATTAGGGAATAAAACAAATGGCCAACAGAAGGCCTTTATATTGAATGAGCTTAAGAATTGCATTCTACTGGCTCGGGGGTCTTAAGCGTCCACTTCTTGATCCACTATTCGTCATGAGTGTTGAGAGTGTAGTTAATCTTTTAAATGACTTTCAGTTCGTATAAGAGAGTGTGTACGTGTGTGTATATGTGCTAAGGAGATTAGAAAGCCCATCTCATCCAAATGTGACAATTAATTCCCTTTTGATCTAAAGTCGTTTGAGATCTGTATTCGGTTCAGCTTTGCACGTTATAAGCAATACCCTCCTTTGGTTCGAGTGAAAACAGGGCGAACTTTCGTCTACCATGCCACTTGAAGGGCATCATATATATGTATATGACGATATAGATAGTGCTTTTAATACTGATCGGAGTACTTCTATGGGGGTAGTTTGACCTCGTTTTCGCGGCTTGATCGTGCTATTACGGTTGCCTAGATAAACGCATATTATCTTGAGTCTTCTGCCATAACAATCATGAAAATTTACGAAGTTGACTACGATTAAAATGGACTCCGGACAAGGTGCCTACATCTAGATGATCCTGACAAAACGAGGTCAAACCACATATATTCAGTGAAAGTAGACTGTGATCAAAATAGGCCAATCCATCTGCGATTGGATTCTTCCTTGTCTGGGTGCGTATGTGTAAGTCAGGAGCATTGCTTATACGATTGGTAGGTATGTTTTGTTGACATGATGAACTTAACGGGCGAACTAAACTAAAATGTATATTAATGAAACGATCATTAAGCCTTCTGTGTCTAGAGGGTTCAACGCCCCTGTCTCCTTAATTTTAGCAGTCAAGCCTAAGTCAATTTTACCCATTATTATACTTCCATTCTTTGCACTCTACGTATTCCCCTAGTCCTTTAATTTCGAGAGCTTTTTTTTGGAATATTTCTATTAATAGACTCATACTCAACAAACCGATATGTTTTAGATCTTTTTTTTTTGTGTCCAGTTTCTGTAGTGCTCCCAGCTCCCTTTGAGATTTGGATCCTGCAGCCTTTGCCAGCATTTTTGTATTCAGCTAACCTTTGGCAACTAGTACGATAGGTCCCACCAATATCTGGTAGTCGTTAATTGCGTTCACCGCATCTCCATGGTTTGTAATTAAGTATCCCAGCATCTGAGCAGAAATCATTCAACAGTTTTGAATATCTAGGGTTCTACCGAGTCCAATTTGTATCGCTGACATCCAGATTGCCTAGACTTTTGATAGGCATCGACAACGCTATTCCAAAGCCAGTTCTTTGACTCTTGAGGGCATGAGTGCCGGGAGTCTAGGATGTAAACGATATGTCGTTTGAGGTGTGCAAATTGGAACATTTGCTTATTTATTTTTATTCGACGCCCACCCATGCAAACACACACACATACAGTGTTCTGTGCTAGTAACACCATAGGCAGTTTCGCGATTTAGACATGCCTATCTAAATTCGGATACTAACTCCTTATATGGAATATGTTCATTCTATTTCGTTTAAGATGATCAATGATTAGTGGCTGAATTTTTCCACAATCATATGAATATACCTTATAATTCCATTAGATTTCGCATTGTTTTGCTTCCCTACAGGTATTCCCATACAGGCAGGAATGGACTGCAGTTTTGAGCTCACTTCGGTTTCATCAGCACCGTAAGAGGAACTCTAGACGTAATAGAGTGAACTGGTAGTCTCGAAGTCCTACTAATGAACGAAAGATATGTAAAGTAGTCGATTGTCATAACAACTATAATTTTGCTTTATCGACAATCCCACCAAAGAATATGATATGGGAAAATGTCTGTTCTTCCTTGGAATTCACATCTGCCCTGTTACCTAAGTGCTCTCGCTTCAATGTGGTGTAATGGTTAACATGCCTATATTATATGCTGCATTGTCATGCTTCAAGTCCCTTCGGAGATGGTGAAGATAGAAACTGCATTTTACTCCTTCCTGAATGCGAATGCCTTTTGGGAAGCAAGACCTTATGAAATTCAATGTAAACGTATG